CTCTCTCTCTCTCTCTCTCTCTCTCTCTCTCTCTCTCTCTCTCTCTCTCTCTTGTGTGTGTGTGCACGCGCGCATGAGTGAACACGCTCACTTGAGTTTGTGGGCGCATGTGCACATGCTCTCTTGCACACTCTTTTGGCCGTTTTTTACCATTCTACACATTTCTCAGGTCATAATGATGCCATAAATTTTTGGGCTAAAGACGACTCCAAACTGTGGCCAGGCATATCCAGAGGTTTATGCTCAGGGCGCTATTTCTCGCAAATATTTGTAGACTCATTGGGGTCAGGTAGGTGCAGCAATGTCTAAGTGTGGGTATGCCGAGCACCTCTGTTGTGTAATGTTTTTTTTTTTTTTTTTTTTCCCCTGTTTCAGTGTTTCTTGAACTTTCTTTTGAAATTCCCGTCATTTTTTTGGGTTGCAGAAAGTGATCCAAATGCCCTGGGAGGGGTTGACACTTGCAGGGCATTTGGAGATGACCCTCAGCCAAACACAGAAAATGATAGTCCAACCAACCAACTTTTGGCTGAGGCCCTGAGGGTCATCTCCAAACAACCCTTTTTGGCTGAGGGTCATCTCCATACATGCCCTTCGAGTGTCAACCCCTCCCGGGCCATTTGGATCACTTTCCGCAACCCAAAAAGAATGACAGGGGAATTGCAGTCTGTTTATTAAACTTTATTTTCTATCTTGAAAAAGAGACTTCTTTCTCTGTTTTATTGTCGATCTAGAAAATGAAGAGGCATTTGGAGATGACACTCAGCCAAAAGTTGTTTGGACTATCAGTTTATGATTTTACGCAACATAAGTTGTGTTTTATTTCTTTTTCAGATTTTTAAAGTTTTAGTTTTTCATTTGCACTTAGACTGCCCAGCGGCTTCCCTGGGCATTGCCCGAGCCGGGCCCGCCCAGTGGGACCCGGGCAGACCCCTGGCGTCCCAGGCTGACCAAATCATAAACTTGTTCTGGTCTTAATTTTATCCCTACACCAATAGAAATTACTAATGTGTAAATTCCGGCATCCGGGCCGTCCATGGTCCTACGGGCTCGACGGTTTGGATTGCCACGCGATCTTAAGACTTCAAGATCACGCGATGATCCTGGCTGAGTGAGAGCGAGAGAGAGAGAGAGAGAGAGAGAGAGAGAGAGAGCTGTCTCTTATACACATCTAGATGTGTATAAGAGACAGGTACTGCCCTCAACTCAGATTCGAACAAAAATCAGTGGATGGCTGTTTTCTGACTGCTGGGCCCTATTGGTCGGCTGCCATACGGTCGGCGGTCGGCAGGTATGCAACCCCCCTGCTTTTGATGCAAAAAAACTGTTAATTTTTTTTCGGTTGCTTTCTGTCAGTCCATATTGTTTTGGTTTCTTTTTTTTTTTAATTTATTTTTATTATCCCGTTTTCTGTTCCAAATACTGCTGCCTTCAGCCTGCCGTAGGATATGTAGGTGTTGGATGGGTGTGGCTGCAATTCCACATTCGTTGGGTCAGATTTCCATCATTTCCTTTGCCCCCAGTATTTCCTTTCCACTGATGCCCTGAACTATTCAGGGGTGCAGCAATGGAAATTCTGTAGGCATGCACCTGCTTCTCCGCCCTTCACTTGAACCTATTTAGTTTGATTTCTTTTGATTTCTTTTGATTTCTTTTGATTTATTTTGGAGCCTGGACCCTACGAGATGGGTAAACACGACTCAACAGACATTCTCCCCGAAGCAAAGAAAAAAAAGCAATGTGGCAAGAAGGGGAGGGGTGGTTTACGTGGCCCCAGGCAACTTGAGAACAACAATCGGCTTGTTCCCGGAATTTTCCGGGGCCGGACCAAAATGGCTGGCAGTGCCAGCCAAACCGGGAAAAAAATAAAAATAAAAATAAATAAATAAATAAATAAATAAAACGGTGCTCAGGGGGAATCCGCCTTGTACAAACGAGGCTCCGATCTACTTGTGTCCTTTTTAAGGGTGAAAGTTCCGTGAAACCTTTTTTGAAGTTTTTTCCGTTTAGTCCCCTGCTGTGCTCCCTGCTGCCCCCCGAGTGGAATTTCAAAGTTGCTTGCCACTCTGCCCTTCTCCCCCGCGATGAATGGCCGATTGATCACTTTGCGGACGGCAGGCAGGTACCAGAAAAAAGGTGTTGAATTCACTCCACATTGTCCACAATAGTCCATATGAGTGCATTGCCTTGGGGGAGATTTCCAAGTCATACAAAGGTCGGCAAACAATTCCTTCATTCCTTCAGTCTGAAGCTTGCTAAGCCCTTTCTGACAAGAGAAGGTTTTGGTCATCTAGCTAGTCCTGGCCTTCTTCGCACACGTGAAGGTTTTGGTGTCTGCTTTGAAGGATGAATTCATTGGATTGTCTTCTCTTTTGCCCCTATGTTTGTCAATTGCAGACCCCGAGAAAAGATTCCTGTTGTTCTCATTCTGTGCTGTTTCTTCAACTTTCTTGTTGATTGCTAAGTTCTTTCTGACCGGAGAAGGTTTCTCTCTCTCTCTCTCACTCTCTTTTTTTTTTTTTTTTTTTTTTTTTTTTTTTTTTTTTTCAAACAAGGCTCCTTCTACAGTCCGTTTCCATTTCCACGGGAAAGTCAAGAGCATACAAATTTTACCCACGCACGCACGCACCCACGCAACGCTCCTCCCCATTATGGTTGGGAGGTCCCGAGTGGACGGCATACTTATTACTTCCCTTGGGAAAGGATATACCACCACCCCTCACCCCTGCCTAAGTTAGCTTCATCATGGGCTTAAAATAACTGACCGGTTCCCTGTACCCCTTCTGCAGTCCTGGGCTTCACGCATCTGAAAGTGTTTGTTTCTGCTTTTTGAAGGTTGGATTGTCTTCTCTTTTGCCCCTTTGTTATCAATTTCGAAGCCCTTAGATAGGCTCTTGTTGTATTCAAGGCTCTTGTTGTATTCATTCTGCGCTGTTTTTCTTGTTGATCGCATGTGCCACAGGAATGACCACTGAACATGAGGAGCTTGAGAATCTTGTCGCGACGTACTTGGGCAAGGAGGCGGCTATGGTGTATGGGATGGGTTTTGCAACTAACTCCAGCACAATTCCAGCACTTGTCGGCAAGGTCAGCCCTCAGATTGCCTCTGCCTCCGATCGTACCTTTTTTGTTTCTTTTTTCGCTTTGCAATGGGCGGCGAGTCGAGTTCGTTATCCTCATTTGTGCCGACTTTTTTTATCGCCCGAGCCAGCCTCGGAGGTGCGCGCCTCCTGTTGCTCTGTTTGACCCAGTGCTACCTAGCTGAGCGGCCCGATGATGACATTCAGAATGATTGCATTCTTTTTTTTTTTTTTTTCTTTTTTTTTTTAATAAAATGATTGCATTCTATTTCATTGTTTTTCTGTATTTCCTCTGGGCATTCGAACTCGGGCCCGCATTTCAACAGTTCATAGCTGCACCGACTGAGCTAGACCCGTCGGTGCCTCAGCTTGCACCTATGAAACATACCAATCCATTCCATTTCCACCATTGGAATTGGACCCTTGGATGCCTAAAGAATCGGTCTCTCTTATGCGGGCTCCCCCCCACCCCCAATCCCCCCCCACATCCCCCCCAT